CTCACAGAGCCCTTTGATGCGCCTACTGTGTCCTCCCTCCCCACCGCCTACAAAGAAACAGGCTGCCTGTCTTTATTTATTTTTAATTTTTTGTAATGTTTATTTTTGAAGGAGGGGAGCAGTGAGAGAGAGGGAAACACAGAATCCGAAGCAGGCTCCAGGCTCCGAGCTTTCAGCACACACCCCGACATAGGCTCCAACCGACGAGCCGTGAGGTCATGACCTGAGCCAAAGTCAGATGCTCCACTGAAAGTGCCACACACGTGCCCCCAGGCTGCCATCTTTAGAAGGGCTCCTGCCAGTCTGTTTTCTCACAACACACAAGATGTGCTTGGGCAGCAGGAAGTGCAGGCCCGTGTTCAGAAGACTCTGAACTGTTAGCAGCACACAGCCCAGACATGAGGGCAGTGCTGGTGTCCTTCTCTGCTTCCTCCCCTCCCCTCCCCGCCCTCTGAGTCCTTCCCGCTCCCCTGCATACAGCAGGGTGGCTGCTGACCGGTCAGCAGAACCAGCAGAGCCTGAAGGTGGATGGACATGAAGGATTCCAGAAGCTCTGAGCTGGAAGGGGTCCTCAGAAAGCATCTGTTACATCCCGACAGTCTTAAACCCCATTGTTCAAACACAATCCTAGCAGAGCCCCAGTAACACAGCGAGCCATCAGGGGGACGGCTTTGTGGTCACCCCTCCAGACCTCTGAGGTACCCGCCCTGTGCATGTTACAGCGTGTGTTTTCCAGCAAGTTCCCAATGGGGGCAACTGGGAGTCAGGGGCCATGCTCACCCAGCAACTCCCGCAGCTGCTGCTGGGGCCACACGCTGGGGGCCTGGGGTGCGAGCTCCCAGGAGGGAGGGAGGGGCTGGTGGCCGCAGAAGGCCTCAGCCAGTGCTGATGGCCTAGACCCGGGCCATCATTCATTCGTTCGTTCACTGCAGGCCCGATGGTGTCTGCCCACAGCCTGGAGGCACCCACCCAGACAGGGACGAAGTCGGGGAGCGCTGTGGAGAGGCTGCTTCGGAAAGCATCTGGTTGGCCGACGGAGGAGGAGCAGAAGTGGTGCCATGGTCACAGGAGGCAGCCACAGCTCTGGAGGGTAGGTGCCCAGACAGCGTGGGCCCCACCAGGGGGACAGGAAGAGTGTGTTCAGAGGAGGTATGCAGGGGTGAGGTATGCAGGGGTGAGCTGGCTGGGACGAGGTGTGGGGGCTGACAGAGAATAAGCACAGGAATTAGCGGGACCTGAGACCCAGCAGCTCCTCCCCACTCCCAGCGAGTGGATTCCTCCCCGGGCCACACCCAGACTGCCAGGGGCCTGCCCATCACCCTGCCCTGTCTCAGCCCACCAGCACAAGACCCTGGGAGGAGGGACATCGTGTTCTAGAGCCTGGCAGGGCAGAGGTCAGGCGACCTTTTGTCATGTGAGACCTTCACATGCACCCACAGCACACAGTGGGGGTTTGCCCCAGGGCCTCCCTGCCTGTAAGTGGCCTCAGGCCCACAGACGTTTCTTGTGCACTCAGCATGTCCCCAGGCACCGTCCCAGAAATAGGGGTGCAGGGGTGAGCGAGGTGGACAGCCAGAACCCCATCCACTGACGACATCTCAAACCTGGGAAGTGCCAGTGATGACGTGGGGTGGGGGAGAGCCAGGGGAGGGCCGCTTCCCTGCTGACACCCAGCAGCTCCCACACCCCCTGAGACAGGGCACCCACACCACCTCCTACCCTCATGCTAACTCCTAAAGTCCTTTGTGGGGAAATCCCCCTCGCCTGAGCCGTCAGGCACCTCAAGGAGGGTATGAGGTTTTAATATTGGTCCCCATTTAAAAATGTTTTTTAATGTTTCTCTTTTTATGTTTAGTCATTTTTTTGAGAGAGACAGTGCAAGTGGGGGAGGAGCAGAGGGAGAGGGAGACACAGAATCCCAAGCAGGTTCCAGGCTCCAGCCCTCAGCACAGAGACCTACACGGGGCTCGAACCCACGAACTGCGAGATCATGACCTGAGCCGAAGTCGGACATTCAGCTGACTGAGCCGCCCAGGCGCCCCACTGGTCCCCCTTTTAAAGAGTGGGAAACTGAGGCACAGAGAGAATGGGTCACACAGCTAACAAGTGGTGAAGTCAGGCAACCCGGCTCAGAACCCGTGTCGGTAACCACGGAACCAGCTCCTTCCCTCACTCGCAGCTAACCCTTCATAGGAACCCCCTGGAGTGGACGATTCGGAACCGGCTGGAAGTAGAGGCAAGTCACCCCTGTCCCGAGCTGCCGGCTCCTCACCTGTGAAAGGACCTCGGTAGCCTCCGTTTCTGAGGGCTTCGAGACCACCCCCTGAGGAGTGACCCAGGCGGCGCAGGGCACGGCTGCTCCGACGAGCGTGGGCGCGGCGTGTGGCCCACTTAGGAGCCCAGGAAGGCCGTAGGCTCCAGCTGGGCTCCAAGGCTGCGGGGTGATGTCCCCGAGCTCCAGCACCACGTGCTCAGGCAGCACGCTGGAAGAGGCAGGGCGTAGGGCTCCGGAGCCCACCCCGCCCACGCCAGCCCGCACACCCCCGCCCAGACGGAAAGGAGGAACACCGCAGAGACCCCGGCGAGGGGAGAGGGCCCAGCCGCGCGTCCTCCGGGAGAGTTTGCCGGGCATCTGCAGTGGGTGCCGGCCCCAGCAAAATCCAGGTCTGAAGCCACGTCCGCCTGGCCGCAGATCCAGGGTTCCTTGCGCTGGGGAGGATGCCAGGCGCGGGGCAGCAGCCACTGGGGGCCCTGAGGCTGTGCGGGGCTGGCGCGCGGGGTCCCAACACAGACCCCAGCGAACGCACGGGACCGAGCGGAAAGGAGCGCCCGCCAACAAGGCAGGGCGGCTAGAGCTGCGCGCTGGGCGCCACAGGCCCGAGGAAGAAGGGAGTTTGGCGCCTTTGAGAAGCTCAAACAGTGAGGGAGCTGCGGGCAAAGGCGCCCGAGGCCGCTTTGCGTGTTCCCCGCCGGGCGCCGCCGCCCACCGTCACTTTTGTGCACACGGTTGTCCGGAGGTCTGGGGGCAGGGGCCCGGAGAGAGCCCCATGCCTGCGGTCCCCTCCTTCCTGTCCCCTCCTCCAAGTCTGCCGCCTTCCCCCACCTCCCTCTCCTGCGGGCCCTTTCCCGTCCTCCTCCCGCGCCTGCCCAGCTCGAGGCTGCTTCACCCACGGCGCCCACTCCCACCCTCTCTTTCGCCCTCTCTCGCTCAGACGCTTCCACATTTGGGGTCCGTTTCTGCATCTCCGATCTCTGCACATCTCTTTCTCCGTCGCTCCTGTGTCCCGGCATCTTTCCGCCCCGCCCCCCGCGGTCCCCAGGGCCCGCCCCCGCCTCCACCTGCCCCTGCCCCGCGCCGCGCCGCCTCCTGCGCACAGCGCCGCTAGCCTCGCTAATGCGTTTCGCATGGCGCGTCAGTCAAACGCCCTTCTAATGTCCTTAAAGCACGCAGAAAATTGCATCCTTATGAAAAAAAAAAAAAGAAGCAAATTGCCTGGTGGAGGCGGAGCTGCCGCGGGGCTCTGGCGGCCGCGCGGCGAGTTTTGAGGGGCTGGGCTGGCGGAGGCGCCGGCCCGGGGGCTGCTAGCGCTGCAGGGCGGAGGGAGCCCGGATGCCGCCTTCCGGCTAGCGCCTGGGCCCACCTCCTCGCCCCCTCACCCACTACCCTTGACCACCTCTCCACACTTGCTTCCTCCACCCTGGCCAAACTCCTAACTGCCTCAGGACCCTTGCATGCGCTACGCCTGCTGCTTGGCATGCTTCCCTTCAGGTCTCAACTGAAGGATCAGCCCAGGGACAGAGATCCTCTCTGACCATGCTGACCAAAGCCCCCACCCCACTCATTGTCTATCACCTGCTTTATTTTCTATAAGACGTTGGTCACTCCCTGAAACCATCTTGTAGGTTTAATTGTGCCTTCTTTGAGGTTTACCCAAGCGCCCTCACCCCCAACATGAGGTCCTTGGGTCAGAGGCTGCGTGCCCCTCGCCTAGCACAGTGCCTGGCACACAACAGGCATTTAATAAACACTTAGTGAACCAGTGCACAAACTCATTCCGGGCAGGCAGGGGCTGCAGGGGACCCTAAGGCACGCGCAACACCCCGAGCTGAACCTCCAGGCTGCTGGGCAAAGCGCAGTGGAGGCCCACAGAGGTGAAGTCAGATCCGAATTCTGCTAATAGCTGTGTGTCCCTGGGCAAGTTGCCTAACATCTCTGAACTTTATCTGTAAAATAGGAGTCAGGTACATACCTTACTGGGCTGTCACTGGATCAACATAGTGGGTGGGCTTGTGTCGCGCGCTGGGAACTGCCTGCCACACTCAGTAACTGCTTTGCTAAAGGAATGAATGGTCCGAGGAAGTGCTTGGTTGATATTAGAGTCAGTCCACCATGCCACCGAAGGCAGACACCGATATTTCTGGAAGCACTAAGAAAGAAAAGTTTGTGAGGACATGGACAATGTAGCCATCACCCGATGTTTTTATGTCATCAGAATTTTTATGTTATACTTACTCAAGGATCTCTTTGGGGGCTATTAAGACATTGATTTTTTTCACAGGTCACTACTGAGTTTACATAAAAAGGAAACTATCAAGGAAATCAATGGCTTGAGGTATTTGGAAAACCTCTCTGAGGTCAGAACTGCTTCTGAATCCATGACCTCCCACAGCCAAAGCCCTGTGCCTCTTGGCCTCTGCCTGTGTGTCCCTGAACCTCCAGGAAGGTCTCCCCCTCCCCTGCCGCTCTAGGAAGCTTCCTGGCTTTCTCCATTGAGGGTCAGGGCCGTTGCTGCGGGGACAGTCACATCCTGCAGACCCCAGGACCCACAGTGCCTGGGACACCTCTCCCCCAACTGTCATATGAACTCAGATTTCAGGAAAGGGAAGATGCTGTCTTAAATTTGATGAGATTCAGTGACAGGGTGTGAGAACTAGGAAAAGGGGACCTTTGAAGTCACACAAGGGAGAGGCCTCCTGCAGAGTCAGGCCAGGAGGTGCCTGGGGGCGGGGGGGGGGGGG